CTGAATCTGGATGTGTTTTGTCCACAGATGCAGAAAAGCAGTTAGATAGAAGATTTTCTGCAGCTCTCCAAGAACACGACCACATTCAGACTTTCATTTCAATCGTTATTTGCTGATGGGGACTGTTCCCCTGATCAGATTCTTGCAACGTACGAAAAAACAGTGGGCCCCACTGCTTTCCAGAACGTTGGCTTTATTTCTTCTTGCAGATGATCTTTTCCAGGAAGATACCCCTTTTTCGCAGCTGATGTTTTCTAGGAAGATACGGCGGCATGGATGGTCATGAATGGTCGTCATCAAATGGCCGAAACAATGACGGGTGAGACTTCTTTGGGTTGAAAAGCCCTTTAGCTACTCTCTTTTTTTTTTTTTTTTTTTTTTTTTTTTAAGCCCTTGTGCAAGGCCTCTATCCCGGTGGTGGTAAGAGAACCTGGGCCACCAGAATTTAGGCGTTTGTCCGGAAGAGAGTCACTTAGTCTAAATTCTGGTACCATTCTCGGGCGAAAGCCATGCCCATACAGCCAATGGAGAGTGGCCAAATCATTCGGGCTCATCCTACTCGGATTTCGCATTCAGTTCGGGGACTTCGCTGTTGTTACGGGTGTGTGTGGGATTGACATTGAATATCTGTTTTGTGCTCCACTCGTCCCATATCCAGTGGTTTTGCTCGACAGGAGCCATGCCCACACAGCCAATGGAGACCAAAATTTAATCATTCCGGCCGACTCATCCGAACATGCGTTCAGTTCGGGGATTGCACTGAATATATTTGGTTCTTTATCCAATTTGGGAAGATTGCATAATATTATGTGCCCTGTTTGAAGATGGGATTGGCCGTATGCCCGGACCTCATTCAAATCTTGAATCCGTACCCGAGAAAGTACCGCCAATCGCTGTTGTACGGAGGTGGACTGGCCAGATTATTCATATAGTACCCAACGACCGTCTTTTGGAATAAAGTAATCTATTCATAATTTAATACCCAGCAGCCATTGGGCCACGCTGTCATCTCTCGCGCCCCTTCCCCCCTCCTCCTTGTCGTTTTCCTCTCCCTCCTCCTTGTCACCTTCCCCTCCTCTCCTCCTAGGCCCCTCCTAATATACTAAGACCCCTTCTTTCTCTCCTCCGACTCTTTCATTCTTTTTTTTTCTTTTTTTTTGTTTTTTTTTTCCTTTTTTTTTTCTTTTTTTTTTTGACAAAAAGCCCTTGTGGCATCCCTGTATCCCAGCGGTGGTACGATAACCGCCAGGATTGAACTACGATTTCGTCAAAACGGACATTTTTTATTTTTTGAACGAAATTGAAACTCAGATTTTTTGCCGTTTTTTTCATATTTTGTGTAATTTTGAGCTACGAAAAAGGGGGGTAAGGGGTAAGGGGTCAGGGGTCAGGGGTAAGGGGTAAGGGG